CTCTTCTTACTATTGTATTGTTTGAAATAGTTCGTTCACTCAGGTGTGATAGTGCTGACGTCGAAGGTTATATGTTGTACTTGCGTTGCACCGGATCAAGTAGTAAACTTCATTTACTTACTGTAGCCCCTTCCTTGTCTTGGATGCGCGCTGGCAAAATCGTAAGTAGGGGAAAAAAGCTCATTTTACTCTCGACTCTTGTTCATTAAACATACTTTTCCATACTGTAAAGGTCAAAAGTTTTACTGCATCATGAATAGTAGTGCGAGTCGAAAACACCCATTAAAATGGTCAATTTTTCCGTGCAGTACTGTACGGATTATACGCTCCTCACCGGTTAAGAGTTTAACCGAGAGTTGTCTCCTTTCTTTTCTGGCCTAGTGCTGTTCTCTTCTACTCTGCACCAGTCAAACGGAAGGTCACATCGCTACAGAAAGTAAACGAAGAGAAGTAGTAAAGTACGCATCATCGTTTGATAAGGGTTTGCGTGCGTGTGTGAAACGTATTGATTGTCGGCCTAATGAAATGTACTAATATTTAACTGTATACTGTTTCTTTGCTTGTTTTATGTTTAACAAAAACCCCTAAAAGACAACAGGTTATAGGCCCAGAACCACATGTTAAATTGCCTTAATATTATCGATCGCTAACGTCGTTAAAGTATACAGGTATTATTTCGCTGCTACCAGGGTTATATAAAAAGTGACGCGATGAAGTCGCACGTTTTTCGTATCGAATTACTAAACCGGGCAAGTTATGATACATGGAAGTTTCAAATGCAAGCACTACTAATAAAAAACGACGAATGGGTTTATGTGAACGGTATAACGCAGAAACCGATTCCAACAATAAACAATCAATTCGAAGTTGAAGCCTGGAACTTAGCAGATAACAAAACAAAATCTGTCATCATTCTCTCAATTAGTTCGTCTGAATTAAAACAAATTAAAGGATGTGATACATCAAAAAAATTTGGCTCAAATTAGAAGGCATTTATCAATCGAAAGGACCCGCACAAAAAGCACATTGTTAAAACAGTTTACTCTTCAAAGAATTCAAGAAAACGACGACGTAAAAGAGCATCTTAACAAATTTTTCAATGCAGTGGACAGACTAGAAGAGATGGGAGTTAAAATAGTCAACGACTTGCTCTCAATTATGTTATTGTATAGTCTTCCCCAGAAATTCTAAAATTTCTTATGTAGAATTGAATGCAGAGACTCGTTATAAAGTGCATTACAAACGAAGGGTCATCCAAAACGTTATGTAAAGAATCACGAATGGGAAAATCGGAAGAAGTGGAACGAGCCTCATAAAGTGCAATTCAAATTTTGTTGCCACAAATGACGAAAAACAGGATATAAAGCTGCTGAGTACACTGAACCCAAGAGAAGCAGTGGAAAGAATAATACCGGCGTCACATATTGCACTACTCAAGCAAACCGAGTTTCTAACGCCTCAAATCTGAGATGGTGTTTGGACAGCGGCGCAACATCTCACCTATGTAAAGATCCTGACGCGTTCGCGAGTTTAGCGAAAAGCGACGTCGGTGACGTGAATTTGGCAGATAGTAGTGCGGCCACCATAGTCGCGAGTGGAACAGCAAAAATTCTTAACGAATAGCCCATGACAATTACAGAAATGCATTATCGAATACGTTACGTGTTTCCCAAATTTAAAACGAATTTAATACCAGTTTCCAAGATTACCTACCGCGGATTTGCAGTATCGTTCAAGAGAAATCGAACGGAAGTACTCGATAGTGCCGGAAACGTCAAAATGATGGCCAAACGTATCGAAAACTTATATATTTTATGCGCGAGTACCACGAACCAAGGCCCGACAGCGCTTCGCTTACTACGGATTCTACGGTTCCACATCTATTACTCGATGAATGGCATAAAAGAATGGGGCACCTCAATATAACAGACTTAAAGAAAACTTCACGAAACGGTCTACTGACTGGAATAAATATCGAAGAAAAAGTCGTCGACTTACAGTGCGAGACCTGCATCAAAGGAAAACTATCGCCATCCCCTTTTCCTAAAAATCATCAAAAAGCATCCGAAGTCCTAGAAGTCATCCACACTGACCTATGCGGACGGAATCCATGGGAAAAGCAAGATTCCTCGTTACATTCACTGACGAAGCTACATGTTGGAGTAAAGTATGTTTCATCAAGTTTAAAGATCGAACTCCTCGGAAGTTTCAATGACAGAAGCGATGTCTACTTCTCAAGCCTATGACTGACTGGACGCCATGGCAGAAGGACAGAATTCCATTATCAAAAATGAAACGCCCAAAAGATAAAATCGTTATAGGTAATAGAATAGTTCTCCGAAATAAGGTTGACTCTGATGGAACAATTTCAAAAAGAAAGCCCGCCTAGTAGCTCAAGGCTTTTTTTTTCAGAAGTCAAGCATTCATTTCAACGAAACATTTTCCGCCGTGGCGAGATTAAGAGTTGCAGTGTCCGCCGCAGTAAAGCTAGGAATGAAAATTAGATGTTTCAACCGCTTACCTCTATGGGGTCCTAGAAGAAGAAACCTTTACGGAACCGTCAAAATTATTAAAAAAAAACGTTGAAAAGCATCATGAATTCAAAACAATTCGTCAGTCAAATTAGAAAATCTGCGGAAACAATGCTAAATAACCTGGATTCCGATGACATGGTATGCTCATTGAAGAAATCCTTATATGGTCTCAAACAAGCCGGTTCTAACAAAGCTTCGATTCCGCCTGACCAACGCCGATCCTTGCGTTTACAAAATGAAATGAAATAGAAACACCGTATTTGTAGTGACGTATGTAGACGATATTATCATCTGTTGCAAAGACGATAGTATCATCTCAAACATAATAAATGAGTTGGCCCAGAATTTTAGTATTAAAGACCTCGGAGAAGTGCATATTTGCTTAGGTATTTAATTCCGTAGAAACGGAAATGAAATTCATTTGAGTCAACAGGGTTACATCAATGAACTACTCGAAAGATTCGGGATGATGGAATGTAAACCAGTCGCTACTCCAATCGATCCTGGAACTAGGTTGACAAAATGTGTGTCACCACGAGACCAGACATTAGTTTCGCATGTAGCTTGCTTGGACAATTCAAAAATTGCTATAGCGAATCCCACTGGGGAGCAGTGAAACAAGTTTTTAATATACCTCAAATGCACGCAGTCGTTATGTTTGTCTTATTCATCTAGTGACGAACCACTTACCGGTTTCGTCGATGCCGACTGGGGCGGAAATTTGGTAGACAGAAGATCTCATACCGGCTCCTGTTTTATATGGAATAATGGTGCAATCAATAGTTTGGGATTCTCGAAAACAGAAATCTATGGCGTTATCTTCCAATGAAGCCGAACATATGGGTCTCTCGGACATATCAAAAGAAGCGATTTACTTTCAGAAATTCCTCATCGAACTGGGTTTTAAAATTGGAAACAGCGTTCCTATATTCTGTGATAGCGTGGGAGCTATAAAGCTCGCAAAGAATTCTGTATTCTATGCGCGAAGCAAGCATATCGACATACGATGCTGGTAGTGCTGTACGATATATCGATATACGATTCTGCAGTGACTGGGCATCAGTTACGACTCAGCACCTGCCCAGTTACCACTGAAGATGCCGTCAGCAAAGAACGGCGAAACGTCTGGAAAAGCAAGATTCCACGGACCACGCCCAAAAAGCCCGAAAGAAAACACAGCATCGATAGACGCCGACCGTGAAAGCCTAAGAACTACAATATCGACATACGCTACCATTTCGTGAAAAAAAAATGTTATTTCCTTCAATCATATTCCAACGGCAGACATGATAGCGGACGTCCTAACCAAAGGTTTATTCCGACCAAGACACCAGATCCTCGTCAATCAACTAGGGTTGTCCTAGTAAAAGCCCCTAAAAGACAACATATATTCAAAATTCAAATGGAATAGTTACGAGGTTTGTTTCCTTTTCGGGCGTTGCGGTTCGTGCGTTATTAGAAAATGTTCTCGTTTCGTGCGTCAAGCAGATCCCTAACGAAGTAAGATTATATGAAGCTCTCGTTTAGAGCATCATTAGTTTTGGTAATTAGATAGTTATTTAGGTGACTTAATAAACAGTTACATTACAAGAAGTTTTAAATTACTGAATATCTTCCTTTAACGCCTTAACTAATTCATATATATTGGGATAAGCCTTCCCAATTACCTTATCCAATCTATTGTGCCAGCCCTCTTCAGTATTGGTCGTACGATACCGATCAATTTCTGAAAACTATTCTTGCAAATGTGATGTTAACAGGACCACTACTGTTATCGGGCTTTTGTGCATTGGCTTGTGAGGCAAAATTACTCTGTTACTTATTTATAGTTGGATTAATACTATGTACGGTCATACAAGAAAGGTTATGGGGTAATTTGAAAGTTTGTTATTTATTTGTAACCTAATCGGATGTTGGTTAGTTGCAAAATAAGGATTTCTACTATAACGTTAACGATTGGAATTAAATAGTAGGGTATGGTCTAGTCATTGATAATATAAGAAGTAAAATTATTATATAGAGCTTCAAAAATTGTAAACTGACGTATTCTATTAATTGTACTATTAATTTTGGGTACATCTGTTGTTTTAAATTTTTCTTGAGGATATTCACCAATATGATTTAGAACTATGCCAGTGGCTTGTGTTAAGGTGATATGTTGAGGTAATTTTCGCATATTTAACTATTTAAGAACAGTAATCTAATTTATGTCTATCTTTACAAAGTTAACAAAGTGTCTTCAAGATTAAATTATTATCTAGTTAGAAAGTTCATCTAATTTTCCAGCTTTGTTAAATATTTATAAACTATCTGGATTTGAATATTGCTAAAAAAAAAATTTGTTTACACTGATAATGAATCAATTTATTACCGAATAAATTATCTAACTAAGATTCTGATAAATTATGTCCGATCAGTTCACCTTTCTGATAAATAAAAAAATGTACAAATGCGCATTATTCTTACTTGTGGCGTTCGCCCTGGACGTTAACGCTCATCAACATCTTGAATTTGTTCTAAGTGTTATTTTCAGGAAAGGTTCTTCTTTAATAAAAAGTTTATTTTAGCCCTTGTGACACAATCATTCAATATAAAAAACAATATGTCACTTTGAGGTTTGTTGCTACGTTTCCTTATTTGGAAATATTTAAAAAGAAACACTGATTTTCAATAAACCTTTGTTGAGATTCGTTGGGAAATACTGTATGGGTACGTATATTCTACTAATGATGGTGTTATGTATCAGTTATAGTTGTGTAGGGTTAGATTTCAATGTTCAAACAGAGTTGCATGTTTTCAATATTTAATTTGTTACTTTTGAAAGATTTTTCGAACTTGCAAGACGGCGTACTGTTTTATTAGGTATGTGACCTTTCTAAAAAGGTTAGCGGATGCATTAAGAGAAATTGTTTTATTGAAGTAGCGGAACAAACGTACACGGAAGGATTATTTATGATCCTTAATAAGCGATGCAAATTTTATTTAGAAATTATCACAGCACAAGTTTCTTTAACGGAAATTGAACAAGCTGAATATTCCGAACAAATATTACAAAATGATGATTTTGATAATTATAATAATTACTACGATTTCGACGAAACAAATACAAATTAGGCATTAAATAGACCAAACACAGATTGTTCATATGTAGGCTACGAACAGTTTGAACCCAACTCAAATCAATACAGTTTTGACCAAAATTCATATAACATAAATGCAAGCATATTTCTATAACTTTCCAATAATGCATAGATATGCATTTAAAATAAATGCGTATTTTGTTAAAATGGCACTCATTATTTACAAATTATCTTACCATATCTATGTAATCTTTAAAAGTTTATTAATCACTGCAATAATTGCTTTTCAATGACAAACATACTTACATTCCCGCTTCTTACCTGAAACAAACATTTGCACATGCTTTAAATGGGATTGCAGAAGTTACCAGAGTAGAATACACGTACGTAAAAAACAATATTGCGATCACTGCTAAATGTCAAAATACTTTGAACAATTCTAATATAAATAAAAAGTATAAAATAAAATTTAAAAAAACATTTTTAAAAACAAACTTATGTAAAAAAACGTGAACTAAAAAGAAAAAAATAAAATTAAGTGACATGTCTTATATATGTATATAGATGAATATAGTAGATAAATTCTAGGTTCTGAGTGACCCCTCCCTTGGTAATTTTAAAAACTTGAGGCACTGATAATGTAACAGGCCAATTGAAAAGTCCCCGGCCTAAAATAGTAAAACACATTTTTTTGCAAAATTCGTTTTTTTTATTCAACATCATTCCCTTCAAGGATGATACACTGATTATAGCGATCCTCCAACTTTTCGATACCATTTTTGTAGTACGATTTGTCCTTTGCTTCAAAATAGGCCTCAGTTTCGGCGATCACCTCTTCATTCGACGAAAATTTTTTCCCAACGAGCATTCTTTTGAGATCTGAGAACAGGAAGTAGTCGCTGGGGGCCAGATCTG